GAGAGAGAGAGAGAGAGAGAGAGAGAGAGAGAGAGAGAGAGGTTGGCTACCGCGAGCCAGAACGACGTTATTGATTAACGTTTGACCGTAATATGGCACGCAGTAGTCAACCTCTTCATTCGTAGGATGAGAAAGCAGTCGAAAAGGCAAACCTGCCGACAAGAACATAAAGACATTAAAGCAGTCACTTCATACATGTATACATATATGCATATGACAAAATGAGAGAGAGAGAGAGAGAGAGAGAGAGAGAGAGAGAGAGAGAGAGAGAGAGAGAGAGAGAGGTTGGCTACCGCGAGTCAGTACGACGTTATTGATTAACATTTGACCGTAATATGACACGCAGTAGTCAACCTCTTCATTCGTAGGATGAGAAAGCAGTCGAAAAGGCGAACCTGCCGACAAAAACATAAAGACATTAAAGCAGACACTTTATACATGTATACATATATGCATATGACAGAATGAGAGAGAGAGAGAGAGACAGAGAGAGAGGTACATCAAACTTCTTTAACGAGACGTTCAACCACAACTTTACACCTCTTATAAAGTGCCCTTAGCCGCTTGTTGATGTGGACTCCTTTCTTGCAATGCTGACAATCAATGGCCTCCGCACGACGCTCTGCGTTTGCTACGACCTTCGACATCATCTCTTTTGCAAAAGAAATGAGATGGGATAAAAAGTCCGCCACGAGCCTTGTCATTTGTCGTTTATTAGCACTTGACATGAACCGTTCAAATATTTTCGTGGTCATAGGTACTGCTGACTCGTCATTGGTTGTCAAAGGTGCTTTGCTGGTGAGGACGCAAGGGAAATTGTGTCGAATTTCATGAGATTGAAAGGAATTGATATCTTTGCAGTCCAGCAACAAGTGTGCGCTGGCTCACAGACTCTTCGACCTCTGTTGCTATCGCACATCCACATTGTGAGATCATCTTCCCGACTTGTGCATTGTATGTTTTCATGGTTTCTACGGGGTTCGACGTTACATACAATTGTCCCGATGCCAGGCGACCTCTGATGTACTGAAGAGAACATACAATATTGGCGCAGCTGTTGAGCAGAGACCTCAAGTTCCCATTAAGGTCATCGCATCCCGTATGTGCACCATCGGTCTGCAGGCGATGGTTAAGAGTGTAGTGCTCTATGGTCTCCGTGCAATGACGGATGTAGTCCTCGGCAAAAGACAAGAGGTCTACAAGATTTTTCGATGAGGCTGTCAGCGGACCGCTGTTCAGTTCCTCACTATCGTAAGACGCCCACCCTTCCCTGACGACACATTTGTCCGCAGAGGAACAACATGTGACATCCCATTCACAACCGTTTTGTGTTTTGGCACCGAATGTAGTGTCCGCGTAAAGAAGAAGGTTTTTCCGATAGCATTTAAGATTAGCAAGCATAATCTGGTACTCCTCAAACGTGTCCTTCTTCTCCTTGGCGATTTTTTGGAGTTTTTTGGTCATCCCCTCCCGCAGATCCGTCACAAGAGACTTCGGATCGGGCAACAACAACCAGAATATGTTATACAATCTATGTTCCGCAGTCTCTGTCATTTTCGCGAGTGAAAGTTCCACACGACCTATCTCGTCTCGCGCCTGGATGACCAACTGTTTCTGCTCGATTACTTCAGCTGTCAGTTTATCTACAACTTCTTGCTGCTTTTCAACTATCTCAGCCCAGCTCTAATCGATTAAAGCCTGTGTTTCATCTTTGCCCCTCCACGGTGCATATAGATCTGGAGATCGTTCGCACTCTATCTCTTCTCCTGCCTTTCGTTTGTCTCCAACTTTCGACATTCTTGATATCTAGAAACGCGGAAAGAAAGAACCACACAGAGAGATAGATAGATAGA